CGTTTGAGCCCAGGAGTTGGAGGTTGCTGTGAGCTGTAATGCCACGGCACTCTACCCAGGGGGACAGCTTGAGGCTCTGTCTCAAAAAAAAAAAGAAAAAAAAAAAATTTGCGATAGGAAATATCATCTGTTGGGGAAGACCGCCCACTAAAAAGCTGCTGGTAGGGAACTATTGGTGTTCTTCATAAGCTATCAGATGGTATTACTTCCACACCCAATAATCAGAAAGAACGTACCTGGTCACAACAGCAGCGAATATCACAGGCCCCCGCTGTTAAATTACAAGGACAAGGACCAAGAGGCTGATATACCTGGTTAGGAATAACAGTCACATTCTCTGAAAAATACATACAACAGAAAGTTCAGCTATGAAACACTGTGACAGCACTGCCACATTTTTGACATTCAAAAAAAAGCTGGATCATCATATTTTATAAATCATCATTACCAAATATTCCACATTAAGGAATGCCTAAAATAAGCTATGCATTAAAATTATTTGAGGCCTGCACCTGCTACTCCAACAAAAACCCAAATATAAGAAAACATGCTACTTATAATGAACCAAAAAAGTTACAGTTGATTTTGAAGATAATCACCTAAAAGTTACAAGGTAGGCTCGGTGCCTGTGGTGCCAGCCACATACAACTAAGGTGGCAGGTTCGAATCCAGCCTGGCCTGCCAAAACCATAATGACGGCTGCAACCAAAAAACAGTTGGGCATTGTGGCAGGCACCTGTGGTGCCAGCTACCTGGGAGGCTGAGGCAGGAGACTCGCTTGAGCCCAGGAGTTGGAGGTTGCTGTGAGCTGTGATGCCACGGCATACTACCCAGAGGGACAGCTTGGGGCTCTGTCTCAAAAATAAATAAATAAATAAAAGTTACAAGGCAAATGTAATGCACTGATTTTTATTTTTATTTTATTTTTATTTTTTGAGACAGAACCTTACAATGTTGCCCTCGATAGAGTGCCATGACATCACAGCTCACAGCAACCTCCTACTCTTGGGCTGAAGCAATTCTCTTGCCTCAGCCTCCTGAGTAGTTGGGACTATAAGAACCCACCACAATGCCTGGCTATTTTTTTGTTGTTATAGTTGTCATTGTTGTTTAGCAGGCCTGGGCCAGGTTTGAACCCACCAGCCCCAGTGTATGTGGCCAGTGCCCTAACCACTGAGCATGGGCGCCGAGCTACAAGATCATATATAATTATGCTACATGCTGGACCTCAAGACCCCCCCACTCACTATTGCAAATCCAACTCCTCTCACCATTATTCTGTCTCAAATATAGGGGAAATTAAATACAAGGGAGAACCCTGTGGCAATTTTAGCTCATGATAAAATCACTCCACAGTGAACTCAGAGGTCCTTCCAGTTCATTCTCCACACTTACTCATAGAGATCTTTCTAAAAATATAAATGAAACTGCATTGCTGGCCGGGCAAGGTGGCTTACGCCTGTAACCCCAGCATTTGGGAGGCCAAGGAGGATGGATTGCCTGAGCTCACAGATTCAAGACCAGCCTAAGCAGGGCAAGACCTATCTCTAAAAAATAGCCGGGTATTGTGACAGCCACCTGTAGTTTCAGCTACTTGGGAGGCTGAAGCAAGAGAACCACTTGAGTCCAAGAGTTTGAGGTTGCTATGAACTATGACACGCTATGATACCCCAGCACTCTACCAACAACAACAAAGCAAAACTCTCTCTCTCTCAAAAAAAAGGCTCAGAGCCAGTGGTTAGGGAGCCAACAACATACCAGGGCTAGCAGGTTTGAACCTGGCCCAGGCCTGCTAAAAAATAGCTGGGCATTGTGGCAGGTGGCTGTAGTCCCAGCTATTTGGGAGGCTGAAGCAAGAGAATTGCTCAAACCCAAGAATTTGAGGTTGCGTTAAGCTGTGACACCATGACACTCTACCTAAGGCAACATAGTGAGACTCTGTCTCAAAAAAAAAAAAAAATCCATAATTTTGAGATGTTTAAATAATACATTTGTATGTTTCTAAAAAATAAAAAAAGATATTAAAAAAAGAAGAAGAAGAAGGCTCGGCACCAGTAGCTCAAGCGGTTAAAGCGCCAGCCACATACACCTGAGCTGGTGGGTTCAAATCCAGCTGGAGCCTGCCAAATAACAATGACAACTCCAACCAAAAAATAGCTAAGAATTGTGGCAAACGCCTGTGGTCCCAGCTGCTTGGGAGACTAAGGCAAGAGAATTGCTTAAGCCCAGGAGTTGGAGGTTGCCGTGAGCTGTGAGGCAACTGCACTCTACCCAGGGTGACAGCTTGAGGCTCTGTCTCAAAAAAAAAAAATTAAATATGGGCGGCACCTGTGCCTCAAAGGAGTAGGGCACTGGCCCCATATGCCAGAGGTGGCGGGTTCAAACCCAGCCCTGGCCAAAAACTGCAAAAATAAATAAATAAATAAATAAATAAAAGAAAAGAAGAAGTAAAAGTTCACTCTCATCCTTTACTGTCTCCACATCACTCTCCAAACTATTGCACACTGTTAGCTTTTGGAATATCCTTCCAGAATTTCTTTATGCAAATATAAATGTTTTCATTTCTGTGTCCTTTCTGACAAAAAATAGCATACTATATGTACCCACTTGTTCTTGCACTCAACCATTTATCTTGGAGATCTTCCCATGCAAGTGCACCAAGGGCACAGTAGCCTGCTAAAGCACTATCACTACTCATCTCATCCTCCTAAACTTCCAGAAGCACTAGCAGACCACAGTTAGGGAATAGAATAAAGGAGGAGGTAGGTCCAGTGAGGTGGCTCACGCCTGTAATCCTAGCACTCTGGGAGGCCAGCCTGATCTCATGGGTACAAGACCAGCCTGAGCAAAAATTGAGACCCCATCTCTACTAAAAACAGAAAAACTGAGGCAAGAGGATCGCTTGAGCCCAGATTGGAGGTCGCTGTGAGATATAATGCCATGGCACTCTAACCAGGGTGACAGCTTGAGACTCTGTCTCAAAAAAAAAAAAGGCTGGGTGTGGTGCCTCACGCCTGTAGTCCTAGTACTCTGGGAGGCTGAAGTTAGTGGATTGCTTAAGCTCAGGAGTTTAAGACCAGCCAAAGCAAAACTGAGACCCTACTCAGCGCCTGTGGCTCAAGCGGCTAAGGCTCCAGCCACATACACCCAAGGTGGTGGGTTCGAATCCCCAGCCCAGGCCCGCCAAACAACAATGATGGCTGCAACCAATGGGCACCTGTAGTCCCAGCTACTTGGGAGGCTGAGGCAGGAGACTCACTTGAGCCCAGGAGTTGGAGGTTGCTGTGAGCGTGATGCCATGGCACTCTACCCAGGGGGATAGCTTGAGGCTCCGTCAAAAAAAAAAAAAAAAGTGAGACCCTAAAAATTTGGCAGGCACCTACAGTCTCTAATACTCAGAAAGCTGAGGCAAGATGATCACTTGAGCCCAAGGCTTTGAGGTTACTGTGAGCAATGACACCACAGTACTCTACTCAAGGCGACAGAGTGAGATTCTGTCTCAAAAAAAAAAAAAAAAAAAGCTGGCTTACAAAGATGCAAACAGTAAAGATAAAATAAAAATTAAATAGTAAAAAGCAAACACTTTTATAATAAAAAACAAAAAAGGGAAAATAAGTTTATGGAGGCAAGACAGACTCAAGAGTGAAGGTAAGCATATTTTATCAACTTCATAGTTTATACTTATAATCAAACAGGTAAGTTTGACATGAATGCTTAGACAGTCAAAGACTACTTGCCTGAAACATTATGGGTCAGAGAAGAGTTGGCATAAATTTCCACTTGAATGAGTAGATGTGCTAAACAAGATGAATTGTGAGATGCTGAAACCAGAAGAGTTTGGAGGACACACAGGGAGTCTGGGAAGGAATCTGTCTCATTTGAGGAACACCATTCCAGATCCTTCAGTTTTACTGTCACTTCCAGCACATTCTGAAAGGAAAAGATTCCTGTACTTTTAAAATGACTCAAAAAGGCAATTATAAGAACACACAATGGCAACCACAATAAAAGTATATATTAGCCTCAGTTCATTTCATAAAAGGAGACTGTATACAAAGATGACAGAGTTATCTTCATTTACACCCCATAAATCTGGTAAGATACAAGTCATGATTCCTAATTCCTTAGTTTAACAAAAAGCAAACTTTTAGATACTTACAGAAAGCTAGACCCAGGTCTGACAGATTAACTTAGTTTGTCTGGCATACAAAAAAGTCAATGAAAACAATCTCCAGTTTATCTCAGAATGACTTTGCATGCGTAAATGCTCATTCCTAGGGTGTAAGCAGAATCAATCTTTCTCATCCTTTTATTTCCAGAGTTAATGTCTTACACATACAGGCACTCAATAACACTTATTAAGTAGAAGATATTTAATCTCTCTAGGATTAAGTGTCTTTACACATAAGCTTAGAGTTGGGCAAGGTCAGTGGTTATGAAGCTTTTCTGAGTAGTAGACCCATTTGGTAATACAATACAAGCTGATAGCCCTCTCATCAGAAAAATGCACATACACACAGAATTTTACACACAATGTCCTAAGATTCGCAGACCCCTTGAAATGCACACAAGGACCCCTGAACTCCTGAGGCAAGATCCTACAGTCCACAATTTCATTACACTTCTGAGCAAGGAGAAAGTGATATCTTGGCAAATTACAAGAGCACTGCAGAAATCCTAGATGTGGGGCTCTACACGGGTTACAGAGAAAAATTTACCTGTGGTCCTACTGCACTGGGGGTCATAGTCACACTCCAGTCTTCTGCCTCATTGCTCAGCACTCCACAAGTTGGAACTGGCAAGATTCCTAAAGAATAGAAGACAGTGCAAGGCAATGCTGAGATGCTGAGATGCTGAGATGCTATTGCCCAGCAGCCAACGGACTGCGCTAGAATCAGACTGCCTAATCTCTTTACAGACTGTGTGACACTGGGCAAGTGACAACGTCAGTTTTTCAGTTTCTTCATTTGTCAAATGGAATTAAAATATATTACTATTTCTATTAAGAAAATGAGATACCGAACTTGGGTGTCTGGGTGGTGCCTATGGCTCAAGGAGTAGGGCGCCAGCCCCATATACCGGGGGTGGCGAGCCCGGCCCCGGCCAAAACTGTGAACTTGGACGTCTGTCCTCTGGTGTACAAGCAGCCCCCATCCTTCCTCCCAGTTCTGACTTTGCAGAGGACCGAGGCGAGGCCCAGAGTACTCCACCTCGATAGGCTCGGGGGCGGCCTAGAACTGACCCAACCCCCACCCTCCCCATCAGGAGGTCCGGACTCTTTACCCTCCTCGTCCTGCAGCACAGCCAGGGACACAGTCACACCCTCGGTGTCTCCGACTAGAGAGGCGCTGACCGCAGGGCTGGACATTCGGATGAGAGAAGGGATGAAAACTACGCGGGAAGGAAGGAGACAGGGAGGAGGAGTTAACAGTTGAAGAGTCAGTGCCTAAGTGTGTGTGGCGGCCTTCTGGGGCGGTCCTGACTTCCGGAGTTCCCAGAGAAGCCCCCAGTCTGATACTTTAAACGTGTGGTCCCCTTAGCCCCGGCCCCTGCAGGTCCCCCCCCGGCCGTACACACCCAAGTTCCCTCGCAGCGGCCTCAGGGCGTTCTGCAAAAGGAGGAGCCCCCAAAGGAGAGTGCCTGGCGGCGGAAAGGCCATGCTTGGGCCTCGCGGGCCCGGTACTGCAGACCCGCGCCAGCCTTAGAAGCCCAGAGGGAACAACACGCGGAAACGCGGCCACAGCAGCCCTGCCGCCGCCATCTTGTCAAGCGAAAGCCAGGAGCTATGGCAACCACCACTAGGGTGCTGGCCAGGGGGAGCGGCGCGTCGTGATTGGCCAGCAATAAGAGACCCCGCCCCGGCCCGGGCGGAAGCGTCCCGGCCCCGCCCACAAGGCCTTGCTAGTTTGAGACTTGACTTGCCACCTGTAAGAAGCTCGACCGGGGCGTGGTGGCTTACACCTGTAATCCCAGCACTCTGGGAGGCTGTAGGCGGGCGGATCGTCTGAGCTCACGAGTTCAGGACCAGCCTGAGCTAAGTAGAGCGAGACACCTTCCCCCCTCCGTCTCTAAGAAAAATAGCGGGGTGTTGTGGGAGGCACCTAAATCCCAGCTACTAGGGAGGCTGAAGCAAGAAAATCGCTTGAGCCCAAGAGTCTGAGGTTGTTGTGAGCTATGATGTCACAGCACTTTACTGAGGGCGACAAAGTGAGATTGTCTCAAAAAACAAACAAACAAACAAAAAAGAATCTTGAAAAGGTAGGAATCCTTGTCCAATTCAAAAATTGGAGTTTTCCCTAACCTGAGAGTTAATGCAGCCACACTGCAAGGGTGAGCCTTTAAGCACTAGCTTTTAAATAAAAAAGGTAGGATTTGCTCCTTAATAAATTTGATTTTTATGGGGATTTTTTTTATTGGGGGGACAAAAAGGGGGTGAGGCTGCAGTGCTGTGATTATGTGGCCCTGTTAAATTGCTTTTATCATTCTCTGGCTTTTTTTTTTTTTTGAGACAGAGCCTCAAGCTGTCCCCCTGGGTAGAGTGCCATGGCATTACAGCTCACAGCAACCTCCAACTCCTGGGCTCAAGCGAGTCTCCTGCCTCTGCCTCCCAAGTAGCTGGGACCACAGGCGCCTGCCACAACGCTCCGCTACTTTTTTTAGTTGCAGCCATCATTGTTGTTTGGCGGGCCTGGGCTGGATTTGAACCCACCACCTTAGGTGTATGTGGCTGGCGCCTTAGCCACTTGAGCCACAGGCGCCAGCCATTCTCTGGCTTTTTTGAAGAGTTTTCTCCACCACACTGAGCTGTCAGCACCTTGATAGCAGATCCGTTCAAAGAACACAGAAGAGATTTTGCCCAGCTATAGGGCAGATGGTAAAGTATCAGAATTTAGCCTGGGAAAGAAATTTTATTTTCTCATGTCAATAGCCTCAGAGCATTTTAAGCATTGTTATAGTCTGGGGATTGGGAGTTGATGCTCAAAGTCAGACTGCCTAATATGGGATTTTGACCTTCCACAATACTCTCTAGCTATTAAGTCACTTAACCTCTCTAGGCTTCAGTTTCAAGTACTTCCCTCAAAAGATTGTGTGCGGACTAAGCGAGGTGACATACCTAATGAGGTTAGACCAATGCCGGTGTACAATAAGCACTCAGTTAATGCTCACTCATTTTCTTAGTTATGGTGTGTCCTTTAACTGAGAGAATACCACATGTGGTGTTGGCTCACAAACAAATGCCAAATAAATGTTTGCCATTATTAGTCTTATGATTAAGTTATATATTAATTGATTAGCAAAAATACTATTATGAAAGGTTTCTGAAAGTTGAGTCTCTATAACAACCTTACCCTGGGTGTTATCTTTTCCCTACACTCTTGAAAAATTTCAGGTTGCTCCAGTTGTAACATTAGCATGAAACATTTCCCTGCATCTCAGCTGCTCTCTGGGAAACTGCAAAGTGTTTACCTCTCTTGATATCTAGGAATAAAGCCTAGGAGAATGTTATTAAGAGGAAAGCTGTCACTTACATATTTCTGTTATTCTCCATCTATTTTGGCAGAATGAATCTACAAAGTCAGCAGGGCCAAACCATAAAGCTTGGGAGGTAAATCTTCCAGAAAGAAAACATTTCTGTGAATAAGTAACCATGACCAGTTGTACTTCTCTCTCCACATCATTGCACACACACACACACTCCTCAGTATAGAAAATACACATAAAGCCCGGCACAGTGACTCACACCTACAATCCCAGCATTTGGGAGGCCAAGGCAGGTAGATTACCTGAGCTCACAAGTTCGAGACCAGCCTGAGCTACAGCAAGACTCTCATCTCTAAAAAATAGCTGGGTGTTGTGGCAGACACCTGTAGTCCCAGCTACTTGGGAGATTGAGGCAAGAGAATCACTTAAGCCCAAGAGTTGGAGGTTGCTGTGAGCTGCGATACCATAGCACTCTACCAAGGGTGACAAAGTGAGACTGTGTCTCTCAAAAGAAAAAGAATACACATAAAGACTTCTGGTTCGGGCTCGGCGCCTATAGCTCAACCGGCTAAGGCGCCAGCCACGTACACCTAAGGTGGCGGGTTCGAATCCCCAGCCCGGACCCGCCAAAC